CCGCCGCAGGAACCCCTTAAAGGCGCGGTGCGGACCGCGGGGAGGACTGCCCCCCGCACGCGCGCGGCACCCGCCTGCCGCCAGCAGTGTCCCCGTGCGTCCCCCGCCACGCCCCGGCCCGGCCCGACAGGGGACACTGGGGGAGTCACTGCGGGACAAGGAAGAACACTTGGAGGGGACACTGCGTGGGGACACTGGAGGACAGGGAGGAGCATTTAGGGAGATATTGGATAGGGACAAGGAAGGACACTGGAGGGGACAACAGCAGGATGAGGAGCACCTGTGGAGACACTGGGTGGGAAGAAGGAGAGACACTGGGGTGGGCATGGAGGAGATAAGGAGGGACACTTGGGGGGGAGCACTGGGCGGGGACAAGGATGGATACTGGGAGAGGACATGGGGGAACACTGGGGAGACAAGGAGGGACATGGCAGGGGCACTTGGAGCAACATCAGGACATGTGGAGGGACATTTAAGGGGGGATGCTGGTGGTCAGGGAGGGATGCTGAGGGGGGACATAAGGAGAGACAGCAAGAAACTGGGGAGGACATTAGGGAGACAGGGAGGGACACTAGAGGAAACAGTGCGGGGGACACCAAGGAGAAAAGGGGGAGCACTGGGCTCAGAATAGGCTCAGCAGCAGTACCCCACAGCCCAATGTCTCTGTCCCCCTCCTCTGCCCCCTTTGCCCCCCACCAGGTGCTTTGGGGACATCAGTTCAGCCCTCACATGAGGTGGCAGGGGTCACAAATGACAGGCTGTCCCATTTTTGGGGACACACACAACACTGTGAGGGGTCACATAACACTGACAGCCACCCCTTCCCAGCTGGGTGAGTGTTTGGCTGTTCCTGGTAGATTAAATGCAGCTACTATCATCTTGCCTATAAGATTTAGATGATATTTCTCCCCTTATTTCTTAAAAACACACAGATGCAGCCACCTGGTGTCCACCGACATGCCCCGTGGTGCTTGTAGGTGAACCCCAGCACCTCCAAATCCCCCAGTGCTTTATCAGGGCACTAAAATACACTGAGCACCTGTCTGTAACCTCAATGTGCTTGGATGCCCAGGTACATGAAAACCATGGGCCAGGGACATGGAAGTATACATAAAAATATAGATATATGAATACAAATAAATATAAACAATAGAAATAGAAATAACAGAAAATAGAAATATAGAAATATTTGATGCCTGCTCCCTGACACAAACACATACTCTGTAAGGGTGCAGCATGTCCCTGTCCTGAGAGGAGCCACTCAGCCCTCTGATGCCTTCCCACTGGTGGAACAGCTGCTGGGGGCATCCCCCCGTGCCTCCCTCCCTGGTGCTGCTCTTTTACATGCCCTGCTTCAGCTGGGGAGCAGGAGAGGTTTACAGCATCTGCAAACCACTCGATTTTATTAAGAGAGAAGAGCTCCTAATTGCAGAGAGGAATAACCATCCTCCCACATCCCCTGGGTGTTTTTGGTTTTTTGTTTTGTTTTTTTTTGCTTAAGACCTAAGGAGTACATCACTTTCCATCCCATACGGAGTGCATGGGCAGTGAGCTCTGGTGCCCTCTGTACAATGCTTTGACCAGCTGAAAGACCTCTAATTTTTCCTAGCCAGGAATAAACAACCGTCACTGGCTGCCTGCACATAGGCAACCCCAACGTGCACAGATAAGGCACTATCTGCTTTTATTTACATTCAAGTTTTCAACCGTCAGAAGCAGCTTGCCCGTACGTCGGGCTCTGAGGGCAGACAAGGAGGGGGCGGTAAGCATCGGCCCCAAGCCACCGGGGTTGGCACAGTGCCGCAGGCGGACCGCAGAGCCTCCAGCCTTGAAAACCAGGCAGCCATTATCAGGGCAGCACAGTGACGAAGAGGCAAGGAGGGGGGCAGGCAGGGCGGGAGGAGGACAGATGCTTTACCTGACCTGAGCCAGCTGAAAATTAGGGATCTAATCTCAGCCAGTCATCTGGGCAGCTCCTTCAGCCAACTGGGGCTGCTCAGCCTCCTGCCAGTGGGCAAACACCCTCCCCCCTATACATGGGGGCTCTGACCCTTTCATCCAGTCTAGCTCTCCAATTTCTAGCTAGTCAAAACATGGGGAAAATCCTGTGCCCCCAAACGAGTTGGTGGACTGAAGGCATACGGGTACTCACAGCTCATCAGGCTGCTGCTGGCCTTGCACATGGAGGGGATCCTGGTCAAGGTAACCCCTAAGCACCCCACTTGATATTGGAAAGCACTCCTTGAACCCTGCACTGTTAAAACTGATGCATCCTTAACATGAGCTGGCCAAGATCAAGAGGGGTTTTCTGGTCCCTGGTGGGATGATGGGTCTAGAGGTGGAATGCAGATGCTGCCGGGCAATGCAAGCCCTGCTGCCTCTGGGAAGTGGGGTCCAGCACTGCCAGCACACTACAGGCAGCATGAGGGCCTCATCCAGAAGGAAAAATTATTCCCATGGGCCATCCAGTCCCCCATGCCCAGCTTGGGTTTGTGACTATTTTTGGCCACAGGAACCTGCCACCATGCCCAGGTTTACCTCCTGCACCCCCTTTTCTCCTTGAGGAGAGCTGCCAACTGCTCCAAGTGCTTCCCATTTCTGTCATTAAGTGGCAGACATTAGGAAATACTGCTTCTCCAGTGAACCCGCTGAGGACAGAGCCTGGCACAGGAATCCTCTCCATAATCCCATTTATCTTTCCCTACCTCTGTGCGCTGCATTCAACCAGACCCTGTAGGGATTTATGCACTTCCAGCTGTGGAATTCATCTTAAGTGGTCAAACCAAACTATCGTGGACATACTACAGATCCGCCAGGTAACAGCCCCTGCCTTGTGGGGTCAGGATGGCTGTTTGTTGGCATCTGAGTGCACCAGGGCACTTCTGGAAACTCATACCAGCAACAACATTCAATTTTACCTGGTTTTCATTTTCAAAGAGGCTCAAAATTCCCATCAGTGGAACTTGGCCTCACTAGCACTCAGATCCAAGTGCTTCAGTGCTTTTTTAGTGGCAAAACAGAGAAATTACCTGATTTTCCAGCTGTGGACATCAGAGCTTCACCCTGACCCCTGGTGTGCAACACAGTGCAGTCAGCCCGGCACAAAGTCACTCAGCCCAGCCACCGCTGATGGCAGAGGGGGCTTTAACCATGCCAGTAAACAGCAAAGGGGTATTGACTCTGACTGCTGGATTGATTACCACTGTTTTAAAAGATTTACAAGTTGGTTTTTAAGGGCAAGCACCTTATGCAAGCTGGGATGCTGGCTCTCATGCAGCTGGGGCTCTGTGTGGCTGCAGATTCTCCCTGTGTTTGAGGCTGGGATGCTTCTTGCAGCCACAATCCAGCTGCAAGTGAGGGGATGGAGTACAGGCATCGTGTTGGGATGTTTTGGGCTTTGCAAGGTGTGGTGGAGAGCTGGCCTCCCTCCAGCCATCGTGCCTGTCATCCATGGGCATTTTGGCTACCTCCTCTCCCCACCACTCTCCCCCTACCCAGCAACCCTGCACCCAGAAGATAGCAATGCAGAGACAACAGGGCAACCGTATCGCCCTGCTGCAGGAGAGATGGGTGTCTCCTGATTAACACCATGCCGTTTTGGGAGGCAGCAGTCCCCCATCACCCCAGGATGACAGGACACTTTTACCCAGCTGGTGGCTGATCTGCAGCCACAAAGCCTCGAGTAGGGGCGGCTTGACTGCATGTCAGGCACCCACACATTTCACCCGTGCTTATGTGACATGTTTATCAGGATCAGCAGCCCCCAGCCAGGAAGGGAAAAAAACCCCACCACACCAACAAACCAACCCAAACAAACACAAGATACCAAACCTCTTGGGAAAGGAGTTGGCGAGCCACACAGACCAGCAGTCTGCAGTTCACCCCTTGCTTACCCTCCACTTGCCCGCAATGTACTGCTTTGGGGGGTTTTCTCCCCAAGGAGTAAGTACAACCATGCAGACTGTTTCAGTGGTTGTTTTCTCTAAAAACTATGCACACACACCCCAGTCCACAACACCATGTCCTGAACCACACTTTTTTACCTCCTTTCTTGGTCCCTACAAATTGCCAATGGTAAGACCAAGCCCTAGAGCCTGGAAGCAGTGTGCTGCTCTACTGACTCTCACCTCCCTTCCCATCTCAGTCCCAGGTGAATGCTCACCCCATCCCAAACTTGATAGCAACAGCCATGTCCTGCTGGGAGGCAGAGGAAAAACCTGGACCTTGGACAGAACAGGGATGGGAAGGGTTTCTAGGCAGGAGGCCAAGCACCAGCTAGAGCAAGCCCTGGCTCAGCACCCAGCCTCTTGCACCATCCGCTGGGTTACCCAAGGGCCTCACGTTCATGACAGAAGCCTGCAATCCAGTTTTACTGGAATTTATGACTTACAACGCAGCTTGCCTTACCTAAGGAAAGCAGTAGTCACAGCCATACTCACAGAGGAGTGGGTCTGTATTTGCCTGCACACCCCTGCCCCAGGGCCACTGATACCACAGCAAAATTATCACAGGCTGAATGAAGGCATGCTGCCCTAACTCCCCCCATTGCATATGCCACTGTGTCCTTATGCCCTGCTTCCATCCTCTCATCTTGCAGTCCTCCAGACTCTCAGCTGATGCCTATCACCTCCAAGGGTCCTCCTTGACCCTTTTGTCTTCCCCTCTTCAGATGGCACCTCCAGCCCTGGCACAAACCTGCAGTTAGGGCTCTTCCATAATTGCCAGCAGCCTCTGCGGAGCAACAGCTGACATTTACATTGGGATAGGGCTGAATGAGAAGCAGTCCCTCTAGGTCCTCCATTCTGCCAAAAACCCAATGTGCTTCACCCAAAAACAGGAGAAGAAAAACGTTTGAAATCCCTCTGATCTCCTCCAGGATCTGTTTACTCTGCCACGAATTTGCAGTGCCATCTGCCCCCCTAATACTGGATTTACTAACACAGCCCAGGCTCAGCACTTCCTCCATGGGCCTGAAGGTCCATGTGGGATTTTTGGAGCGCTGTGGTGAAGCAGTTTATTTACTCCCCCAAACCCAAAGGTGGAGCAGAGAGCTGGATAACAGCACTGCAGGGCTCCTCTCAACTCTCCAGCCAGGGTCTGGGATTGCTCCTGCTGCCTTACCTCCCCAAATCCAGAGGGAGAGAAGACAGGTTAGGATGCTCCAAAATCACATAGAAACCTCGAAAAATGGCCCCCCACTGCTGCTACACCGGGTTTGGGTCACATTTCCCTCAATGAACACATTTTTCTCAGTGAAAGGGGAAGATTTTATTAAGTTAAAAGTTGAAGGGTGCAGCAGGGCAGCAGCAGCTGCCACCTTGGGGGAGGTTGGCTCCAGTGGGTGCAGTAGCAGCCTCACAGCTCCTCTTCCCTGGAAAGGAGAAGCCCCATGGCTCTGGGCTCCTGCCCATTTGGGTTCTTGAAGGAGCCAAAGGACAGTCACGGAGAGAACTTGATCATGCGGACTCCTGACAAAGTCTCCTCTTTTAAAAGTACCAGGCAAGCACATCAACGGCAGACTGTCCCAGCGGCTCCCTCCAATGACTTGCATGTCTTCTATTCAGGTCCCTGGGGGTGGGACGGGGCGGGGAGCATGGTCCTCGACGTACATCCCAGGGGAGCCATGGAAACATTTGGAAGAGAGGGAATATGTGCCAAAGGTGGCTGTGAGCAACGGGGCTGGGGTGGGGGTGGGTGCTGGGGTGGGAAATCAGATTCTGTTTTTCAGGTTAGAAAATGCTGATGATGTAGTAAGTTTTTCTCCCCTCTTCCCCTTCTTCTTGCAGGGGGAAAAAAATCCTCTATAAAATATAATTTTCACATAAAAAAAATCCTGAAGAAGGTGCATGTAAGAAGCCAGTCCAAACAACGTGCTCAGGTATGCAGGCAAAAGGGGTTCATCAAAAAAGCTTTGGAAGGAGATTGAGAAGGTTGGGGGGTGGGTGATTCCTTGCCAAGGCGATATGGATGGGATTCAACCTCCCCCTCCCCACAAGTGAGGAATGGAGCAAATACAAAACAAGAACAGATAAACCAACGAAGAGCAGACCTAGAGAGAGACAAAACCAGAAATGATTTAGAAAGACTCCATTGAGGGCAGAAATGCCGTCCCTTCTGCTCCCTGGAAAGATGGCATCTGGTGCCCTTCTACAGACCCACTCATCTCAGCGGCCACCAGCAAGCGCTGGCGGAGCAGGATGACCCTAACCCCAACGGCCATGGCATCCAAGCAAGAAGCAGAGTCTCTTCAGACAAGGGGACACCCCCATTCCAGTCACCCTGCTTCCCTCCCCAGCTGCAATGCCCCCTGGCGAGCGTGGGAGGAGTGCTGGGTCTAGTCAGGGCTGCTTTGATTCAGACCTAAAATTTCCATGCTTCGACAGAGAAACTATTTCAAAGGCAAACGCAGCAGAAACAGGAGGTAGCAAAAGGCCAGCATGTGGCTGGCTCCCACCTCCAGCATGGTTAAACAGCACCTGGTGCTGGCTTCAGGAGCTTCAAGAGCAGCATGGAGAGGAGGGGGCTGGGGACCTCGGGACAACATCAGGGAAAACAGGAGGGCAGGACAAGAGAATGCAGGAAGCAGAGAAGGAAAAGTCTAAGCCTAAAGTTTCAGCACTGAGTGGAGCAGGAACTGGCAGCTTCCATCCCCCTGTCAAAGCAGGGCAGTCGGTCTCAGGCACCTTCACTCAGAGGTGCTCACAGCATCCCCGGCGCTTACCGTTATTTACCGACGCTGTTGCACAGTGACTCCTTCTCCTGCAGAGCAGCCATGGCCAGGCGCAGGTGCTCCTTCAGCTGTTCGATCTCTCGCTCCGAGCGCACCTTGATGTGATTCAGCTCTGCATAGACATCTTGGTATTTCCCTGAGGCAAATCTCTTATCCTGACAGGGAAGGGAAGGGCATCAGCAGGTTTGAGGGCTGATACAGAGGAGGGGGGCAGTAAGGTGAGCCCAGCAGGAGAAGGGCCAGCAAGTGAGGAGCGGAGAGCCAGCCCCAGGTTTGAAGCCCATCCCAATCCAGGCCATGCAGATATCATTCAGAAGAAGAGCATGGAAATATCACTTCCCAAACCCCAGGCCACGGAGGAAAACAGAGCTGCTGGTCCTGCATCAGCAGAGATCCGAAGCATCACACTGAGGAGGTGATGGAGGCTTTACCATGGCTTGTGTGCATTTGAGCCAGTCGTGAGGGAAAAATAAAGCCCACCAGAGTTGCAGGCCACTAATAGGGCTGGTCCCAGCCATTTATATGGCAAAAAGTCCAAGTGAGAAAGTTCTAAACTCCTGGAGCATCACTGATTCTCAAAGCCTCTTTCAGGTTCCCCTTCGGCAGGGGTCTTTGAAAATCCCTCCAAAGGAGCTGCTGCCAGCAGAGGGAGCAGCACACCCAGCAACGGTGCCCAGGAAAACATGTCCACACAGTAAGGGGACTAGGCAAAGAGAAGGTGGCTGGGGAAGCAGAGTGCCTGGCAGGCTTCATCTGGGCTTCCCACCTGGGAAAAAAGTGCTCCTGGCTTGTCCGCACATTTATGAACATATATCTGGGGAAACCAGCACCAAAGTCTCCATGACAATTTCCCTTGTACAAGATAAATTGATGCCAGCTTGGAGCATGTAGCTGCTATGTGCTCGGGAGTGATAGAGGCCAAACAACGAGCATTTGGTCTGAGCATCCCATCAAACCCAGCTGAACTGTGCTGACATGTGACCCTGGTGCTTTGCTCCCTCCCCTTTCCTGCTGCTTTCCCAATGGCTCCCAGAAAACACTGACCTTTTGCATCATCTGCAGCTCCTCCCGAAGGCACTGCACCTCTTTCTTTAGATACTGGAGCTCATTCTCCTTCACCCTCAGCAGAACCTGGGCCAGGGAGGGAGGAGATGAACCAGAGGTGACTCAAGAGCCATTGCGTTGGACAGGCTGTAGGGCCCCTGCGCAAGCACAGCGATGGAAAAGGAAGGAAGGGCCAGGAGGGCTGGGGCAGGAAACGACACAAGCGCCCCAGGAGAGTGGCAGAGGGGAAGCTTGCGCACCTCCTTCCTGCACCAGCCCCACTGCTCCATCAAGCACCCCCCTCCCACCTGCTCCAAGCCAAAACCACCACGAGGAGGACACCCTCCAGCACGGGGTGGGGATGGAGGCAGTGGGGCAGCCTGGGGGGCACTCCTGTACCTCCAGCTCGCAGGAGCTCCGCTCGTTGGTGTGCGGGGACCGGTCCCCAGAGCCCCGTGAGGAAATAAAGCTTCGCAGCTTCGCAATCTCATCTGAGAGGCGGTTCTGCAGCTCCTGCATGCAAAACCAAAAGATGTCAGAGTAGCCATGGCACAGGCCTCTCTACTGTTCTGACCCCTCCATCTTCATGTCAGCCCTGCTCCCTGTCCATAGACAACGTCAGCACCTACAACCAACAGAATACACTCACCATATTTAATACCATAGTTAAGACAAGCCCATCCACAGCCTCTAACTCTTAACCTTTTTTCTTTTTGATGATAAAATCTCAGAAGGGAAGAAATATGAACAAGCAGGAGAGTTTTAACAGAGGGGCTGTGCTGTGCAAAGGAGGAACATGTTCCACAGTCTCTGCTGACAGGGAAAGCCCTTCTCTTGCCTGGTTTTTCCGGAGGAGCTCCTTCCCTTCCTGCTGACACCGCTGCAGTGTCTGCTCCCGCTCCTCTGCCTTCTGGGTAAGCTCCCCAATTTCTAGGCACTTTTGGGAATACTGCTCAGAAAGCACCTGCAGCTCCCGCTTCAGGGAATCCACGTCCAACCTGCCAAAGAGACGCTGGCTCATTGCTGCCCCACAACCCTTTCCAGCCCCTGGCCACCGGCATAACCTTCCCCCCTGCCACAGGCAGCCTCTGCACACTTCAGTCATTGGCACAAAATACTGTTCCCTGTGGACCAAGGCTTCAGTTCCCACCCTCCTGCACATGAGTATGGTGATACTAGGAGCTTCAAGCCATGCAGGAGAAATGGAGGAGCTTTCTGTAAAGAAAATAGAGGGAAGAAGCTATAGGAAAAAGGAGGTGCTGTAGGGAAAACGGAGGTGGTGCAGGGAAAACAGCCAAGCAGGGAATAAGCCTCCCTGTCTTACAGCTCCAGCAGCCCTGGCAGTCACCCCCAGGCACCCACCGCCCCCGGCGAGGTGAGCTGGGGAGGGGGCAGGAGGGACAGCTGGGTCTATGGCCACAGATGGGGTTTGGTGACACTGGCATAGGGCAGCAGCATCGGGCAAGGGGAGAAGGAGAGGTGGTTTCTTACTGGTGCTGCTTCTGGAGGGCATCTGAAACTGAACTGCACTGCTGGAAGCTTCGTGTCCTGCCCAGCTCCTTATTCATCTCCTCTCGATGGGCTTTCTTCAGTGCCTCAATGGCTGCAGAGGGTGACAACAGGAGATGGGGGATCAGGCTGTGCCAGTTCCAGCACATCTGGGGAAACCACGCCAGGGAACCACCTGAGCTCTTGCCACTGGAGACTTCCAGACCTGTCTTTGCAGATTCCCTCTCCTTCCCTTCTGCCCTCAGGGCATCCCCCACCTTTTCCATGTCCCAGGATCATCCCCAATGCAGCAAATGCTGCTAAGGAGACTAACAGTAGCTCCCTGTCACCTCTGCCAGCCCTGCCTGCCTACAAGAAGGTGCTGGCCTCCTCCCACCCATCCACAAAGGCAAGATCCCATTTTCCATGGCATCTTTACCACCTCCTCCTCCCCAGCTCTAATAGCCCTAGCAGCATTGGTCCAAGAAGCACCACACTCATGCTCCCAAGGAACATCAGCCTCACACCAGTAGGGTCAGCAGTGTGGCTCCAGGTGACTGGGATGACCGGTTTCTGGCAAGAAACGTTTGGGAGAGGTGGGAAGGACCCACGTGAGCAGAGGCATGGCTTGGTGTTTGCTCCTACCTGCTGCTGTTGCTGCCGCCTCCTCTGCCAGGAGCCGCTCCTTCTCCTGCCGCAGCCGCTCCAGCTCCCGCTGGTGATGCCTCTGGAGCTCCTCCATCACTTGCTGGTGGGACGACTCCATCTCAGCCAGGCTGCGCTCGCAGGCCTCCTGTGGTGCCAGGGAAAGGAAGGGTGAGGGACTAGGAGGGCAGGAGGAAGGGCTTGGGCCAGGACAGGCACCTGAATGGGCTGATGTTTGCCTTTGCAAATCTCACCCAAGTCTAGGGCCATTCCAAGAGAAGTGAGACCACTTCCCAGGAGTGTCTTTTCCTTATGAAAGTGAGGTGGCACGTTTACCACCAAACACAACCATTTAACAAGGCCACAAATCTTGCAACCCCCTCATGCTTTGTGAAGGAAGAAACGTTCCTCTTGCTCTTCTTAAAACTGAAGCAGCAGGAGAGGAATGTCCCTATTGGGCCAAGAGCTGGGAATAATGCACCCGACACCCCAGTCCAGACTCTCCACCAGGTTGCACTGCCTGGCTTGAGGAGATCAACAGCAGGAACTGCATCTTGGTATCTGCCTTTTAAATGAAGCATCATCCCCTGGAATCAATGAAAACTGAGCCTCTTCTGAAAAATGACACCCTCCACTGCCCTGTGGCCCGATGGAGGCTGCCAAAGAGCCCTCCCCAAAGCCTAATGGTCAGGGATACTCCTCACATAGCTTGCCCTCCTTTCTGACAACTCTGAGACCAAGGGGATGGTTCTTTCAATGCTGAGTGCTGTGGTTAACTGGTGTTACAGCAAAGCAAAGCAGTTCCCACCTCAGAGCTACACCTTTGCTCTCCCTCCAGATGCTGGCAGCACCACCCCAAGCCACTCAGGAAGGATTTGTTCACCACCAAACCACGCCAGAGTATTATTTTAAAAAGCCAGGGCCTCTGAGACATCAGTAGAGAGACAGGAAGAAAGACATCACATTCCCCAACAGCTCCTTGCCACCCCATTTCTTCCCCCAGAGTGGAAGGCAAAGACTGATATCAAGGGCACTGCAACACATTGTGGGAATACAAGTCCTTGCTGGCTACTCCTCCCTACTGAGATGAGGAAAGCTGGGAAGCTTCACAGATTGAACAAAGGAGAGGAAAAACCGAGGGATCATTTTGGTGATCTGTCCATGCATCTGTCCAGCTGCAAACCTCGGCAGACAGAGAGAATAAATCTCTTGGGGAAAAGCCAAGTTTGGCCTCAGATGTGAAATGTTGGCCTTTTGAACCAAGTTATTAGGAAGATAAGGTGCCATTCCTCTTCACTCCTGCTTTCTTTGACCATAAAGAGGCCTGTGAGCTGTAAATATTAAATCAAGATGACAGAGCAATTGGTAACTGGCTGGGCTGGACACCATGGGACTTGTGGGTTTCTTTATTTGGGCTAGGTACAGCCAACCTGCCAACAGGCTTTGCCAGCCCCACTTCCTTCCCTCCTGGCGTCTTTCAACATGTAGGGCACATCCTGAAATCCCCACAGCATGGTGGAACAGCAGCCTCCCCCCAGGAAATCCCTGCGGGATATGACCCTGCTTGCTTTGGATGAGTCCATGGCAGGGAAAATAAATAAAGAGAAAAGAGAGGCTGAAAGCATGACCAAACTCTGATTTATGGGCTTTCTCACATGCCACCCCAGCAAACAAAAAGGCTGCACTGTCAAAGTGACCTTCAGGGCTCAGGTGGCTCTGGCAGGGACAGGAGATCCCCAGGGCCTGACAGAGTTCTTTTAACAAGGGATTCGGGAGTCCCTGTTATCAAGAACCATATGTAGCAAGCTGCAAACCACCAGGGAATGTGCAGGCAGCCTGGCAGAAAGCTGCTGACCCACTCCTGAGCTGGGTTCACCCCTCCAGCCCAGGCCAGCATCACGCCTTCACACACAAAGTGAGGCACAGAACCTGCATCCCTCTCCTAACTCTCCTCCTTCCTGTTTATACTCTGATCCCTTTAAGGCCAGGCAACATGCACCAGCCTTTATGTAATTAACATTCATTACAAGGGTTAGGGTCACCATGGCAACCCAATGATTAGCAATACCTGCTCAGCAATAAGCTGAGTCCCAGCATTTCCCAGTTTGGGATTGGGAGCGACCCCAGTGTCCCATGCCCTGCTCACCTGTGAGATGTACCCCCGGGGCACATGGCTGTCTCCCTGGGATTTCACTGTCTCCCGAAGGCTCTCGTTTCGGGCCTGGCAGGATTCCAGCTGCACCCGGAGTGACTGCACCTGCGCCAGGGAGGGCAGAGAGATGCTCAGCCAGGGGTAGAAAAGTGCCCCTGCCCAACAACATGCCACATCTGAACCCTGGATAGGAAGGATCATGCACAGCCAATGGAGACATCTGCTTCCCACAGGAATGGCAGCCTGCCAAGGGACCAAACTGGCAAAGCCAGCCCCAGCCTGGGAAGCGCTAGCAAGGAGGGAAGGAGACATCCCAACTTCCAGAGGTGGATCTGTGCTGGAGGAAACCACCACTGCACGTGTAGCTGGGATGACAGAGAAGTGCATGGCTCCTTTCAAAAGCTGGCTGGTGAAACGCTTGCAGACTTGGGAACTACCAGAGAAGAGAGGCTGAGGATGTACTCTTGGGAAACACAGACTCCACACAAGTAGTGCCACCGACTAACTTATCCTGGACCAAAATGTGGCCAGGAATACGAGAGCAGGTCTCTGGCCTTGCACAACCCAGCTGCAAAAGCTTCCATGCACTCAAGAGGTGGCAAATGGAGCCAGAAAGAATAATATCTCCCTGCAACTCTGCCTTCCTCTTCTGCAGAGTCTCCTGCTGCCAGGGACCACACTAAGGGGCCACAAGAATCCCAGTTTCGGAGAGAAGGGATTCTCTTACCTCCTTTTTCAGTGCCTCACTCGCATCTCCGTGGCCTCCCTTGGTCTGGTTCAGCAGTGCTGTCAAGGGCACCCGCCGCGAGTCCTTCAAGGGCAGGCGTTCCAGCTCCAGCCACTTCTTCTCTATCTCCTCATTCAGCCGAATCCGCTGGTCCTCTGAAAGCAGGGGAGTGGGTAGGTCCTGCTCCCCCACCTTGCGAGAAGAGTCTCCCACTGGGCCATCGCTGTTTGGGACCCTGCCATCGGGGGTCTCAAACCATTTACGCCTCTCCTCTGAACGGACCGCCAGATCCCGCTCCAGCTCCTCTTGCTTGAGAGTTCGGTCGCAGATCCTCAAGCTCCCTCTTGTCCTCTGAGGGGACCCCTGATTCCCGGGGTCCTGTGGCAAGGGAGACAGCTCCACGTAGTCAAAGGCATGGCGCTGCCCATCTGCCTTCCAGTGACCACCCTTCGAGTTCCCCTCAGAGCCTGAGCCTGGCCGCTGCTGCTCCTCCGTGCGGAGTGAGCCCTTCTGGGGGACACAGTTACGGAAGGAGTTCTCCTTATCACAGTCAGAGAGCCTGAAACCAGAGTGTCAGATAGTGAAGGAGAGGTACCATATGCAAAGGATACCAGTGGAGGCACTGCCAACTGCCAAAGGCTCAGCCCTTGCTCAGCTCAGCCTTAAGCAACCCCACCCTGAGCGCAGAGCTGGGCCTGTAGCATCCCATCCCTTGGAGAAACAGGTTCCTTCATGGAGTGGGGAGGATTCACCCCAGTTCCAGGCATGCTGGTAGAGAAACTGGGCTAAACTGATGTGGCAATGCAAAAAGCAGGTGCAAGAGCAGGAGCCATTAAGCTCTCAACCCTACCACCGGCTGGTGTATCCAGGCCATGTTCAGGAGGAGCAGAGGGCAGGGCTGATCTGGCAGCAGCTGGATTTCCAGAGGGACCTTTCTGGTCCCTGCCTGCCACAGGAGAGGGGCAGCAAGAGGAGAAAGAGGAGAAGCGGCACGATGCAGCTCTTACTTGGTGACATCCGGAGCACTGACTGGGCGCACGTTCTTTCTCAGGGCCTCAATCCAGTTGCGTCGGATGCCCGAGGTCATCGCAGATAGGGTGAAGATGGCATCCTTTGTCTGCAACAGGGAGGTGATGGAGGACCCGTCAGTGCTTGGTGGAAGTGCAGACAGCTCCCACTCGCTCCCTGGGCACCCGCTTACATGGAGGGTGGAGTGTGTTGGAGAGGCTACCCGCTGTCTCGAGGACTCTTGTGGCCAGGTGGAGGGATGGGAGACATGCTCTTTGTGGGGAAGCCTGTTACACATCCTCCGTGAGACCATCTCCAAACAAAGGCAAAAGAAATTTTGCCAGCACATTTGGCCAAGCATGAGCCAGAGCAATCCAGCCATTCAGGCGCTGGGAGCTGGGCACCAGTGCTGGGATACAGCAGCAAGCCACAGGGAAACCCAGACTATGAAATGCCCAGCACTGCACACCCACAGAAATACCATTTTTTGTGCTGCCTCAGCAGCCACATCCTGCTGCTACAGCAAGTAGCCAAGGACAGGATTGTACTGGGGCTGGATCCAGGGTACAGGTTGTTACTCAGAGCATGGTCAGCCAGGCTACACTGAGATCTGCAGTGCTCACCACTCCCTCCCTGTAGCTCTAGAGAAGCTGCCTTAGCCAACAGGTCAAATAAACACTCTTGGCATTTAGCTTGGCTCCTGGGCCACCTCCAGCACAGCCTTTGGCGGGCCCTGCAAAGCCTCCTCCTCCTCTTTCCTTTGCAGGCAGGCAGCACTTGCACTGCCACCCATGTGTCACTAACCAGCCTTGCTGGGCCATCATCCTGACAAAAGGTTTGCACAGCTTGCCCCTCAGCATCTTGGCACAGGGAGGAAGTACTCATTCCCACCCAATGTCCCTTGGTGCTGCTGCTCCGTGTTCATGCACTGCTGGACACTCACATGTATTTGGAAGCCATAGTTGCGCTGCACTGCAAACTCTGTCACATCTGTGCAGGACCGGAGGTCGATTTCTCCATCGAGGTCATCAACCTGCAAGCACAGCCACCCACTAGGACACCAGTGCAAACCCAGTTTTGAAAAAGCCCCTGCCACCTGCTGGCACCCTAACCAAAGCACAGGCCACCTCTGCCTTCATCACACAGGTCTCCAGGAGCCAGTCTCAGCTCCCCAGCATAGCGTGGCCTAAGAGGCAGCCAGCAACGTGGATGAGAGCATCAGAGATGCCCAGCCACAGGACCAGCCCTTCTCCTCACCTCCCACCACTGACAGACCCCCCAGGCTTCCCCACCCCACCAGCCCGCCTTCAGACACCCATCCTCTTCATAACCCCTTGGCAAAGAACAGCTCGCCACCTCTGGTGCCTTTCAGGAGGACACGACACTGCCACTTCTCCCAGGAGCATGCTGGTCATGCCAGGGCTGTGCTCCTCCCTGGCTGGGAAGGAAGACAGGGCTGGAGAAAGGCTGGTTGTGCTTACCTCCTCTGCATTAGAGTCCCGGTAGTACCTCAGGCTCGAGTCGGTCAGCACAAACCAATGTTTCTTCCACTGCAGGTGGATCAGGCAGGGGGAGGGAAGGTTAAAGACAGGAGGGAAATGCATAGGCCATTACCATGGGAAGTGTAGGAACAGGGAGGGACACTCTGTGACATGACCTCTTAGCCTTCTCTTCCTCCTCCTCCATATCCCTTCCAGCTCCCTCTTGCACCTCTCGGCTGGGAGAGGGGTGCCGGGTGAACCTCCATGCCCACACACAGAGCAAGGCACCTCCACCAAAGGCTTTCCACTGCTTTTCCCGGCAGAACCAACCTCAGCCAGCAAGGGGGGAGGAAATTGGCTGCTCACTCTAGCAGCAGGGGCTGGGGGAAGAAGCAGACCTGTGCCTCCAGCTTACCTCTCCTAGCTCGTCCAGGATGGACATCCATCCCTTCTTGAAATTGAGGAGATCTGGCTGGAGAGACAAGGACAAAACAGAGGGTTACTGTCTCAGAGCAAGCCACAAAAGGGCTCTTCATGCCAGGAGGTAGAAGGCAAGTCCCAAGTGGCAGAATGACAGTGGGAATAGCCTGGCATTTAGGAAACTCATGGGGGTGTAGGACCTGGTGGCAAAGGAGAACTGGATTTAGCTCTCAGGAGCTGGCAGCTGTTCATGTAAGAGGAAGCAGGAGATAAGGAAAGAGGTTTAAAAAAAATTAAAGGAAAATATGCAGCAGGGAGGTTTCCACAAGGTGCCTCGGAGGTATTTATTCAGACAGGGGGAGGCAGGGACAAGAGGAGTGGGCAGAAGGGAGTGCTCCACTGCCACTGATGGGGCTTGCCTCAGAGACTGAGGCAAATTGCAAAGAACCAGCATGCCTTGTCCAAACCTTGGCCATCCATGCCCCAGAGCTACGTACCTCTGGTTACTTCACCACCAATCATTTATTAAAGACAGGAGTAGCTCTTTATGAAATGGCCCTCACTGAAAAAGTACAGGAGGCAATTCAACAGCTGTGAAAACATGGTGCCTTTAAACGATGTGTCCCAGGGTAGAGATGAAATCAGAGTCACAATCAGCACTTAATCCTCTCTGAGACTCGAGCCTCTCCAAGACTCAATCCTCTCTGAGATGCTGGGGGCTCCTCTCTTACCCAGCTACTTCTGCTCCCTTCCACTGCAGAGCTGCCTTCTGCCCAGCCTCAGCCACAGCTACCAAAGATGAGGATGAACAGAGTTTCACCGAGATCACCCCATGCTAGAAAGAAATTTGCCCCCACTCCCTGCCTCCTCCTGACTTCATGCCACTGGTGCGGCATCCCAACCAGTTTATCTCCTTCCCAAGGTGGAGTGCCAGAGAGCTGACTCAGGGGAACCACTCTCCCTGGCTTTGCCCTCAGGCAAACAGGCTTGAGCTGGTCTCTCCTCCCAACCCTGCTGGCTCTGGAGAAGTTGCACCACCAAATAATTCAGCCCAACGCCTCCTCTTCCCGGGAAGCCAAAGTTTGCTGATCTGCCCCTTCTTCTGAAGCCACACCAGTCAAGAACAGTGCTGGAGAGGTGATGATGCCAGAGCTGGATCTCCCAGTGGTCTGCACCAGACATGCCAGCAGCCCCAGAGAAACCACCAGTGACCCCCATGAGCCATAACACCACTGGAGACTGAGCTGGTGAGAAGGGGTGACTTGGCAAGCCGAGGGCCACTCTGCACCCCGCCAAGAAGCCCAGCATCTGGCTGCAGCTGCCCTGCAAGCCCAGCTCCCTGACTGCCCAGCCAGGCTGAGCCTTCCCCTGCTATCAACTCCCTGAGCTGCTGCTCTTGAGTTACACCCAAGATTATGGGGCATCAAGAGCTGAATACGTGCTGGCCCACCCCAGCACTTCGGCTATTGGTTCAAGCAGGTGTGGGGAGGCCTGCCAAGGGGAGGGTCACTAACTGCTACAGCTTCAGGCCTGGCCAGAAACATCCGAGGGCGGCCCCACACCACCCAGAAAGAGAAAGAAACCAGAACATAAGGGCATGGGAGGGCTCCCATGCCTCACACACACACACCCCACCCCCCCAGTGACGGGTACTACCAGCAGCTGGGAGATGAGGGGGATGCATGTATGCCCATCTCCATGGACCCAGACACCCCACCAGCCCCACTGACACTCTGAAAAACTGTCCTGAAAATTAATTCTTTCCCCATGGTAACAGCTCCACCCTTTTTCCCGTTATCCCTTCCAATCCGGTGACTTCAGCTCCGGCTCTGAACTGGGAGCGGCAGGAGGTATAAGGAAAGGAGGCGAAACGTCAAAGCGCAACCTCTCCCTCTCCCGGGATGCACGGGTACTCGGCAGAAGACAGCCGGGCAGGCTATGCAAAGGTAGAAAAACAATATAGGGAGGGAGAGAGGGAGCAAAAGGACTCCTGACTGGGGTGGTTGTATGGATCAGCTGTGTCTCTTCTTCTTGAAGATTTACCATCACAAAGCATTGTGTCAAAATAATGAACATTAACAGGGTGCATGCTGCTGGGAAATCCAGCACAAAGTCCTGCCAGAACTGCTGCCCCTGACAGTGCTGGGGCCAGAAAATTCCCCCAGAGGGCTTCTCCCAAGCAGACAAATTGCACAGGGCTCCTGTTTTCCCTGCTGGCCCCATTTTCCCTGCCACCTCCAAATGTGGAGCTGCAGCTCTAGAATTGGCTTTGAACTATTCTTGTCATAGAGGGGCTGGTACTGAAGGATGAGGCATCAGTTTATGCACAAAGTTTTTAAGGCTACTTTTCTACTCCTTCCCACTACCAAATCCAGCTTCCTCATCCAGCATAAAGACCTTGGGATACTAGCAGAGAAGAGAGCAGGGTTCAAACCGAACCTCCCATCCACAGGAAATGACCCAGCAGTGGGAGAAGTAAACATCCAGGAAAGCCAAGCCACTGGGAAGATCCGGCCACCGGAGACACAAGGATGCAGCAGGATGCACTCCTGGCGTAATGTGCAGCTATGCAGTGCAGCGCAGGGCTGAGGATGGCAAGGCTTTGGCTTGGGAGGTGGCAGCAGCAATCAATTTCACCTGGTTGCATCCATACCCACCAGTTACAATGTTCAGCCCCACAACTGGACAGGTAGAGGCACCAGAGGGGGTCCCAAGCAGCTGGGGACACAGGTGACCTCTGGAAGGACTGGCTTACAACAGCAAGTTAAGGAGAGGCAGCTGCCTGCTGGGGCTGAAGAAGGGCTACAAGGGAGGTGATAACAGCCTACAAGTATCTGAAGAATGTAAACACCAAAGAAGGAAAGGGGATGGGGTGGGAGCCTGAGTGGTACAGAGGCGCCGGGATGGAGAGGGGAAAAGAGACTGGGGCAGGCTGAGAAAGCTCGGAGTCCAAAAGGAGAGATGGGATCGTCAGGTGTGCTCCTTCCACCACCAGCCTCTGCCATTGCCGCACCACCCCATGCTCTTCCCACTCCCAAAAGCTCCTCAGGACCACAGCTCCTGGAGTGCTACTTCCTCTCACCTCTGACAGACGGTGTGAGGGGCTCGCAGCCTCCCAGCAAGCACAATGTCTCCTCTCCTCCAAAAAGGGAACCTGCTCCACAAGGCGCAGGCCCCTGGCCAAAACATAAAGCAAAAGCCTTCCAGCTCAGCTTGGTGCAAGCACAACCGCTCCCAGGCTGGCGCATGCATGCGGCTCCTGAATCTGTACGTGCTGCAAAAGCAAGTGGGCGACAGCCTCTCCCCTTCTCACCACCCCCGTACGAAGCGCCAGCAGGCGCAGCCCGGCCTGTCACCTCCATTACCCCGCTCTGCTCAAGAGTCTTCTTCTTGGGGCCAGCAAACATCCACGCCAAGGAAGGCTCACCCCAGGGGTGGGACGCTCCCTGCCCCGAAACCGCATCTGGTTCCCGCAGGGAGCAGGAACTCCCCGCGCCCAGGGCGATGTGGATGTCACATAGGGCTGCGGTCATCGGTGCGGTGAGCTCGGCAGGCCTCAGCTCGGTCCGCGCTTAGGCGCGGCGTTACCAGTGTCTTACCTAGGTGGGCTGATGCCCGCTGCTAACGAAGCGCCTACCGAGCAGCCACGGGGAGCCCTGGAGGGGAGCCCGTGGCGACGGGGAAGGGAGGC